TATATATATATATATAATGATGATTTCAAAGTTTTCGATTGTGCCTGTATGATCGGAAAACAAAACGATGTGAGAGAAACAGGCAGTGAGACCGAGTATCCTATACGGGCTCATAACTGGCGAAATATGACGTGTGCCATACTTTAAATGGTCCGTTGGTAGGACATCAGCAGGGCACTCTCAAAGCATTCCATTCAATTTGTTTAGTTAACAAACAATAAAAAAAATATAAGAGATTACTAATCGCCGTTTTATTTCTATGAGCAAATTCGGCCAAGGATGAGAAAAGAAAATAATTACAATTAGTATATAGCCGTCAAAACCCGCTGCAAACTCCTGTAGTTTGGTATCACCATCTTGTTATTAAGCGGCATTGCTCTGTGCCAGACCGCATAGATGTTCGTCATACATCATCACCGGCATAGTACGGCATACATGTGGAAACAGTGGGCTTAACAACGGCTGGATGAATCGTTGCCCTAGCTAGTGATCATACGCGTGGGCAACTGCATGATACAACCCAGCCATAATTCCGCGTTTATTCATATGTTAATCATTTAGTCTTTATGATGGGCAAATTACGGAGGCGTATGTGTGTGTGTGTGCCGTATTGACTATATTATTAGTAGTACATGGCCGAACGGGCACTGCTTCGAATTTATTTGCACTTATTTCTGTAGAGCATGCATTTAAGCAAAACTAAACACGACTAAGTGTAGATGAAGGAACGTTTTCGTAGTGTAGAACGCGTTCCAGCCTGGACTTTCTCGCGTTTGAAAAAACGAATAGCTAAAGGCAGCCTTAGGTGTGACGCCAATATACACGCGTTTATTTATAAGAAACCATAATGATGGCCTTCCAGCGTCTTCTGCCTAACAAAACGGCGATTATGATGATGATGACGACGAAGAAAGACTAAACGATACGATAACCAAAATAACAGTAATAATACCAAAAGTGACTACCAATTACTAGGTAACCAATACCGAACCCGTGCTAATGAAAAGCGCATAGCGTAAATTTTAACTCTGAACTGTATTTTGTGCATCAACTAGTGGCCTTCGGTTCAAAAACTAGCAACAATAAATACACTTACAAAACTCCTACATTATCTGACACATGGGTTTTCGGTACGGAGGTCCACCTATCCCGCTGGCTGGGTGACTGGTACTATTCACTAAAAAGCATTAAATATATCTACTGTACAACAACGTCGATGCTAGATAAAACCAATTATTGCCCAATATGATAAGACAAGATGCTGTGCGATGTTTGCCATTGTACTAAGGCCGCAATGTCGTAAACGTAATATAAGCGACATAGTTATGAGTTACTGCTCGAGCAAATAGCCATCACGGAAACAATACATTTATGAACCAATCATGATGAAATCACTATGGGGGAGAAGGGCGACGGCGTGCTCATGCAATTTAGTATGCAACATCTATCAGATGCATGTTTGAATATGTCCAGTATGACCAAAATAAACTGGTGCAGCGTAAGGCCACGATTTAGAACCCCTTGACGACGTCGCGCACATGGAAGGTTAGATGTGTTTATTTATTGATGAAAAAAAACGTGTAGACGCCGTTGACCTATTACTATTTAGTAGCTGAAGGAGTGAGTCCACGTGTGCCTGTCGATATGAGCATCCGGGAACGGTTTTATCAGCATTCTTAAACGCTGTGCCGCACGTAAAATAAAATCAAAGCAACGTGACGAAAATGATTTTTATATCGGATTTTACTGAAAATGGTAAGTGTGATTATGTATTACGTTTGTTAATTGTTATTATTATTATTATGTATACGTTTGCATCTGCAGAATGGCTTTTCACGCCAAATCATTTTAGGTAGAAACGTTGCATCAGATGCCTGTGCTACGTTAGGACAGTAACCGAATAGGATTAAGCTGGCCAGCGTACCCAAATCATTCTGTCGAAACGTTATTGGTAACAGCAATTGACTGTTGGACATAGGAAGTTGGTCCAAATAGTATAAGCTAATGAAGCGATCCAGATGGGGTGAAGACAACTGCAAGTTCATCCAGACGCAAACAAGCGAATTATAGTGACCCATTTTTCTTGCCTATGTTTTGTTTATTTTATTATCTATTGGTGCAATTCTACAGTGTATCGTGAGCAATTGTGTGTGACTTCACCTCATGGAAAACCGCAATCAATTTTAAGAAGTAAAAGAAAGCTCATTAGTAAAATCTATACATAGCTAGAAGCCAGGCTTGTAACATCGCGAAGCTTCTTGGCTGGCTTTTCTCAGCGGGACCAAAAAGCGGGAAGCCTCCTTTAAATTTGACCTCCGTAAAGAATTTTTTTTCGCTATGTCCACGAAACACTACACTGGATTCGGTAAGGCTTCAATTACCATGGTCTCTTGCTATCAAAATTTCGAACTTCAGAACGGCTAGTCCTAGCAGTAGCAGTAGCGGTAGCTATGCATTGTCTAAGTACATTTTTTAGCTGTCTGCTAGAAATGACCAATGAATATGATGTCTGTGCGGCGTATTAGCTTGTCAATTTGAATATTTCGAGTTTCACACTATTGAGCGTTTAAACGGTTGGCCATCGGCACGTTACCGTGCCGCATGAACACGCGTTCGTTCGTTCGTTCGCGATCGGCCCACATGTCCTTAGGCAGAGTGGGTAAGCACATTACGAGAACAATCCGACACTCTAGACTTCACATAAACTGGTAAGCGTTGACAATGCTTAGTAACAAATAAGTAATCTGTTGGTATCATCTGATTCCTTTTGTTCAAACAAAAAATAAGATTACGATCATTTCTACTGCCTATAACTTAGCCATAGGCAGTGGAAATAATGGTCACTTCTCCGCATAGAGAAGAACCTCTCGGTGCACATTGCCAAAGTATGTCTATTACGGCTTGAGAGACTTCAGCGCACTAGAAGAGTCTAATTTCTGTTGGAGAAATACTGTTAGCATTATATGCGACTATAAGGAAATAGGTTACAATCACAACACATTTTTTGCCAGAGTTCATTTTCGCTCGAACGGTATTGGATCTTGAACAAGGTGAAAAGAATAAGAAAGATATAACTATCCCTGTAGTGTTGCTTGAGCAAGAATCCCACAAGAGAAACTGCCTTTGACGGGTGCAAATCGATTTCTTTGTTCCTCATTTCAATTCCTAAATGTAAGTATTTCAATTGGCTTTTGGAAACAAGGCTGTTCATAGCTGAAGGCCGAACCGAGCTGATACCGATAAATCCTCTTCTGAGTGATTGGTGCCTAAGCAGAAGGCTTTTTACGCCATCTACTCGCTCAGTGTACTTTATTCATTCAGTCAGTCCATACGAAAATTAAATGAGAAGTTTGACAAATGATTTTCAATCAATTAGGAATGGTTGATGGGTCTCGGATGGTAGCGATAAAAATAACGACGCATACTATGTAGCCTTCTCACAACGCTTTTTAACGCTGAAACCATCTGGTTGTTGATTAAGGTCTTCCTTTTATTGGAACTCTAATACTTAATCATAGCCTGAATGATCTCAACCTCAACGAAGGTCAATTAAAATAACTGCCTAAAAACCGGTGGCAGTGTTGAAGCTGTGCTTCAAACGGAAGTATATGGAAATTTTGACGCCCTTCGTGCAGTAGCACTAATGAGACCCGTTAATATAGAAAGTTTGGTTTATTCATGCAGAGACCTACTTGTGACTCTCTATACAAGATTTCGCCAGTTCGATTAAATGTGGGTAGCTGTACACCACTGGATTGCGTCCAGTAGATTGGATTTACTCTACCTATGTTACGTTGCTTTAAGGACCGTCAACTTAAATCTTGAAATTTATTCGCTGTTTCAGATAGGATGAATCGTAGGAGCTATCTCCGTTGTGATAGGCAGACTTTGAAGGTTATCATCTGCCATTAGATTAAATGAGGTTACCTTTTGTCGTAGAAACGCTTCCCATGTAAGCGCTAACACAGTCCTAGAGTAACAGAGTGTACAGGAATACGCCCATCAAAACAGAAGCAAAGTATTTGGGTTTAATTATTGACTACCTTATTATTACTTAGATAATCGGTGTGGTTAATCTACGGGTGGCTTGTATGGTACATTCAGCAGTCGCGCACTGCACCGTTTACCCTTGGGTTAATAGTTTAATAAGAACACCTAGACACACGTTACAATGCAATCATTTAAGGTTTGTCATACCTGCCGTTCGAACTAAGCGTGTTTAAGGTTCCTTTTCTGATTTGATGGACATCACGTTTTTAAATATATTTATCGTCTCTAAAGAACATACAGTACTTTGCTAGGATACGACGAGCAAAAGCATCTACAGTTTAACCCTGCCATTGGATTCTACAGGCTGTAGAAAGGTTCTTCAAAAATCTCTTATAACCTGTTTTGTATGAATCAGAAACATCTAGCTACCTAGAATTTTGAGAGGAAACTGGGCTGCGATGTTAAAATGCTAATTATCTCAAAACGTAATTATTCCTACGTTATCCAAGTGCTTAAAGCGCTCGCTACGCAAATTGCGCACAATTGTTTTTGACGTTGTTTGGAGCTAGGCAGAGCTTTTTTTTGAACTGAAAATAAATAAAATAGTCATAAAATGAATAATAGTATACTGCAACCGTAGACAATAACATCGTTAATTGTCGTTCAAACCGTTTACTATTTAGAGCCATTTCCTTGGAAGATCACACCACTTCGCTGCACTCCTGCATCCTGTCCCATGTTTTAGACGTATAGTTTTGGAGAACCTACCACACTGAGAGATGCTACGCCCGCCGTTTGGCTGCTAGTGGGGCAAAGATTCGGACATGCCTATATTCGTTAGCTATCCCTAATCGTCTGCCGATTGCAGCTTTATACTGTGATCGAACCACGAGTGATTCGCTTGTATCAGTTTGTACCCGCTTGTCCCACGCGACGAGGGCACTGCTATCTATGGCAAAAGGCGTGTCACTATTCGTTTTCTCTCTTTCGCTTTAAGTGTTTGAACTTACCTGCAGCGGCAAGCCAGCCCGCGACTATCGTTAGGATCCTTCGAGCTACTCAAGTAAAGTCCTATCTCGTGTTGTTCTGAATAGTGTTTTGCCTTCATAAAAACATGATTGAGTACGCGTCACACAGCTGCTGTTGTCCAAGCTAACAAGCACACATATTAACACACGAAATCACATCTTCCACACACTATTCCTTGTCGTGAACTTTGAGTTCGAAAAAGACTTACCACATACGACCTTAGCGACCTACAGCTCACGTACGCGTAAAATAACGCAGCGTCACTGTTGCAGTTGCTAATGAATTGCAGTGCTTAACCCACATCCAGATACTATTGTGGTACGTTTTTATTCAGTTTTCTTTGTTCCACTGCCTGACCGGCCTCATAATTCAAATCATGTTTTGATCCTGATCCATCACCATGGTCGATAGCCTTTAGTATTGTCTGTTTGTGTGTCCTTCTTTCTGTCGAACCGGGACTTGTGAATCACAAACGGTGATCATTCTTTCCATAGATTCTCGCAGCTTCATCAAACCTGCGAATCAGTTATTCTCTTGGCAAAGCATTCTGAGGTTTCGCTGGGGGGGGAAGGAAATGGAAGGGTCTCAGATGCCGTTGATGTCTGTCTAGTTTTACTGAGTGTACCGCCTCGTTTCCCTTCGCGCCTGTAGTTAGAAAGCTCACACGCTCTAAACCCCTCTCCCGAGTTCGGCCATCGACATCAAAGCGAGGACCATTGGCCCTCGAGAAGGAAGCGCAGGTCCCTCACGCAACAAATAGGAGAAACGGCGACCTCGAGGCTAGCAATATTAGTCATAACAACCCTCTCTTCTAGAGCAGAGACTCTCGCAGGACCAGTAGGTGTTTCGAAGCAGACACGTTCAGGTCACTTACTGATGCTTGCTTTACTACAGTGCACTATATTTTATATATCATAGCACTGCTGCACCTAAGGGAATCGTTGTGCGGCGGTTGTAAGCGGGATAGGACTGGTGAAAAAAAAGACGGCCCCCAGTAAACGATATAGGGTCAGTCCCGCTATTCAAGCAGGCGATAAAGCAGTTCACCGCATAAAGCAGAAATATCTGTGTAGCTTTTGTAGCAAAGTATGATTCATGTTTGAGTAATCTATCGTTTTGAAATACTAGAACAATGAACATGAAAATTCGTATAATAAATCACATGATTTTGGGAGTCTATATAATAATCGGTTCCTTATAAATGGAAATTTTTCCTTCACGATTCCGTTTTGACCTAACGCGAGCGCTCCTTCCTTAACAGCTAACTACTTGACTAGGCCACTGCTTGAACCACCACAACGTCATTCCAGCCACTTCTAAAAATCACACAGAAGCTTGTTGGAAAAATTGGTAACACGCTAATTTATGAAAGCATTTTATAAAACGTGGTACCAAGAAACCGGAAACAGCTTTCAATGTAATGTTTGTGGAACCCAACTTTCGGAATTTGAGATGAACAAATAAGGTGATTATCAAGCTAAGTAATGGCAGAAATATCTACTGCTAACCTATCGGTTTATTTGCTTTGCGTTACACAGTTTTTAGGTGTAAGGTTTTCCGGTTGCCCCCAACCGAGGACAACAAACAATAATTCAAAAGTTTCGAATTTTCTTAACGAATCAGTTTTATTTTTCCCAGTAATACAGCTTCACTTTTACTTAATACAAGTATACCTCCTGCTAGATCCAGCGCATGCTTCAAACGACCTTTTTGTACTTTTTAATATATCCAAGCAAGTTGTTTAGTCCTCGGTGCATATATACAGATGCGATATGTTTCCAACTATTTCCTGAATGAGTCATCTGTTAGAAGTATATGTTTTGACCCGGAATATATGGTATTGTCATATCCTGTCTTTTATGTTTCGCAGAGACCAATTATTCTTGGCACTGACATCAACTACCAATACGCGGAATATATATCGTAAAAGAGTCAACTGGGCATCTCCAGTTAGGCTTCCTCGAACGCTTCCGGCAGCTGATGACAATGAAAGCATCTCTGCCAAAAAGTGGAACTCTCAAAGCGAGTGAACCGGCCGTATTCGCTCACCATATCAGCTCTATTAATCCTATATCAAAAGTGCTAGATATGTCATAAAACTAGGGCGCGTTAAACGTCTCCTTCTACGGAGAATGTTATCGGCGCCGATCTATGTAAGACGATTAGGAACAGCGTTGAATCTGAACTTTCGCTATATAGTATAGTGGGATATTGACATATTGGCTAGTTTCTTATAAGTCTGCTTATTCCGTCATTTTAGGTACGTTGTAGAAGACGATTAATTACAATAGATAGGAGTCAATAAAGGGAAGAAATATAAGAGTTACTAAAATTTATTGTCGAAATACATTTAAACGAGTCGAATGGAAATTATTTGGCTATTTGTTGTACGCTGACTAATAGTAATTCCTGTCCTCCGTCAGGGCGCTCGCGTCCACATGTGGTTCCGTATCATGCACTACCCCGTATTCATCTTTCTCACCAGGAATTTTTATCCAATGATATGCTAGCAAAGCTTCCTTCCAAAATCTTGTTCCTTTCGAATTTCTCACCGCCTTTAAACTTTGCCGATTAATATCATGCAGTCATTCAACACAAATAGTCATGTTCAGCGACGATCACATATTACCGAGGAACTACAAAAATTACTCAAATACTGCGTCGTCGGTTAATACGAAGTGGTAATTAGCAAGTAATAGGCTTCAATAACCTGAAAATTATCACAGTCTCTGTCAGTATGTTCCATATGCTACTTTCTAAAAAAATTAATGATACGTTTGAATTTTCGCGCCATTGTACGGTCACTTGTGATAGATGCTTACTTTGGCAAAGAAAGCGGGGACTCCGCTCCACAAAGGTGGTGTATCTGGTGCAGTGAAAGTTTTCTGATCAGATTGTATGTATAGACGGTTCTGCAATTTATTTCAAGAAAGGAACTGAGCGTGCATTAGGTTTATTGTGTGAAAAATAAAACCAATTACACGAACACTTTTGGGATGCTGCGTGATGCTTGCAGAAATCCAGATACTGAACGAAGCTTAAATAAAGAAGGCGTGCAGGGATCCGTTAAAAATGATCCTCATCCTCGAAGTCCTAAAATGCCGTTTAGCTTTTCGGTTAATGTCAAAGGACACTCTCTAAATGTTTGAAGAATGTGCGAGTGTATCCGACGCAGAAAAACGCGATGTGTGTCTTATCCCGATCTTCTCATTTAGCGCACTTAGCCCCACACGACTTTTTTCTACCCCCAAAACTAAAAAAAAAGCCTTCCTACACAATGGAAGTAGTAAATCTCTAATTGAGCTAAATGCCATATCTGTGATCAAAGAGACCTGAAAAAGCGATAACATAAGTGTGTCGCAACTACCGGAGAAATCGTTCTCAAGAGAGAAACTTGAATTCGGATGGTCGACTAAATGCTTATGATTACCGGAGCAATCGATTTATTCTTTTATGAACAATAACCCGATTTAAATGGAACTGGGTTCGCACTCACTGCGGTATTTTTACATTAGCTTTAATTTGTCGTCACTTTTAATTTTATTTAGTAACCGTGCGACTAAATTAAGGTAGGTGGTTTGATCAGATAGGTCTGCTTTATTAATGGAACTTTATTTCCTAGTTGTAACGCGTTTTTCGTACAAGTGTCCTCAACCATGGCTCTCATTAAATTCTAAACACCGTAAGACCAATGCGTGTTATATTGTTGTTGTTTCGTTTCATTACAATGAAGAGACTCCTGTATTCGTCGATAATAGGCTTTGACATCTCTCTGCATGCATTGCACACTTGTTATTTTACGAGAATTATCTCTGCTTACATGTATATTGTATGTATGTATATAAACTGCTAAAACCTTTGATTTTTAAAGGGGAATCCATATGGGATAAAGTGGAGTCGTTAGGCGGACTTTTGTCACTTCGTTGATGTTAGATTGCGTAACGTCTATAGGGTGTCTCCCCGATAACTTTTCGGTGCTGCGTCAATTGCGTCTTCCGATCCCATTCAAAGCCTATTTACATCCTTTAACTGCCCCGTCAATGTGATGCGATATAATTTCTCAAGAAAGGGGACCTGAGCTCATGGTTTTCGTAGCGGTGTTCTGTCAGCCGGTGTCAACGTTACGTGTGGCTTAATCCCTAGCTTTTATTAGCTGCGTATGTATTCGCCAGCCACGTTTTGCTCATCAATACGACTCCGCTGACAGCAACGACGATTATTTGGCCTGTTGCACAAACGAACAGGCTGGTGAGCTTGCAGCCAGCCAATCACAAGGGAATCACAGCCATAGCACATAAAGCTGTGTTTATTCAAATGATACCTCTTTACCAACATGCACATGTATGTAACCCAAACACTAATTTTATTTCAATTTAGTTTGTAACTACAGGGTACATAAGGACTTTGTTGCACGATGATAACATGGTTTATATAGCTAGAGACATCTGTTATTACGAGATATTCACCGAAAATTAACCAACGAATACGGTCCGCTTTTTCGAGCTCTTCAAAAGGCTTATAGACCGTCGGCATGGCAATCACAAACGCATAATTCGCGTACTTGGTAGTAACGCTAGACTCCATTGCCATGCCTTCATTTTAGATTGAGCAAAGGAGTGTCCAACATTAGCATCAACCCGCTTATTTTCTCGATTTGGGTCCATACGATGACGGAGATTTTCATGCCCTAAAAAGGGGAACTGGTGGACAAGCATATGCCATTATGATTTACCTTTATAAGCTATAGATGGAGAAGTTACATAAGGAAAAGTAAATGGTTAATATACGCCGGCCCGGAAGTTGTCAGGGCAGCGATACAAGTGTGGCATAAAAATAAAGGAGAATATCTCTTGCGCATATTAAAAATCATCTCTCTAGCCCATCTAGTTCGAAGCGATGCAATTTTAAAATCCTCCGGATTTCCTTGTAACAACCTAACAATTGTGGTCGATAGCAATTGTACCAGCTCAAGCTAGTAACTGCTCAAAAAGGCCAACGTCTAGAAAAGGTGTCACCGGGCCTTTTATAGTGTGATCAGAACTGCGTCACGGTTTGTAGATTCAAAACAAATGCAAACAGCAACTTTTGGCATTACCTCATTAACTTATTAACAAGAACAAAGTGCATTTTTTCACTTGAGTTCAAAAAAATGCAAAAGCACACTTATATTAAGCTGAATTTTTTTAGCCCAAGAAGAAAACACTAGGCTATTAATAATAATATATTTAGATTAGCCTTAATCAGAATATCATTTTCTGACATGGCAAACAAATGCAGTGCATATACTAAAGTCGCTCCGTAGGTTGCGGAGGAGCATTGAGGCTCTAGCTTCAATGCATACTTCGTTCTAAGACAGTACCATAATTCTTAGCAAAAGACGACTTGTTTTTAGTCGTAGCGTAAAGCGTTGCAGCTTGACTAATCAGAAAAAGCTCCGATCCCAGTAAGTAAATATGAATCCAAAGCGTTAATTACCGCCATCGGGATGCCAACGATGCACTTGCTGGTCTAACCGAGGACTCACAAAGGCTCGTACT